GGAGACCAAACTTCGGAAAAACACAATTGGATGCTTTGGGACGGGTTAATCTTCGTTGAAAACAAAAACCGTATCATGATAAAAGCTAAAATAGAAATTTTCTGGACTTTCAAGCTTTGCGACCAATTCAGAAAATTGCGACTATTTATCAGCTTATATTTTGGTAACATGCCGCTCCATTTTTCGGGACCTTTTAAAGAGCGCCTATTTTCTCTGCTCAAGTTATATCAAATAAGGGAATTTTTTCAATAAAGGAATTGATAACTTCTGAGATTTTTGGTGAGATTTATGCTACTTATACAACCGTTGTTCCAAGAGATAAATCACTTAGAACCTCAGCGGTCCACTCTTCACAAATCTTGCGTCGCACAGAGACACTCTCAAGAGCTAACCTTAATTTCTATTCCGTAATTCTTCGCACTTGCTGATGGATACACGTTTTCGCACTCGGACAGATCAATAGCTATCAAGGGTTCCGTGGAGTCCTCCGCCCAAACGTCCCTAAAAGGAGATGAATTGTGCGAATTTCAAGTCTTCGAATAAGGAGTGCAGCGATCGCTTTGCGCAGCTAAATTTAGTTCGCTAAAGGAACCGCGAGCTAAGTCTGGACAAACAGTGCTGAATAGGCTAGTTGAGCTGGGCAAATACAGCCATGGCTCTTTTGCAAAACAGTTTTGAGGTGGTTTCTGCGCCAAAGCAAAGAAAGCGGAAAGGAAAAACAATTAGCACTCACTTGTAGAGCTTCAAGCTCAATCCAGCTAGAACAACCCAATGATTTTGCCATTCGGCATCGGTCTTGCCACGAAGCATCAGCCATCCTTTGCGGAGAGTGTGCGCCATCGAGGTGTCGATGTGGCAGGCCTGGAGGAATTTTGATAAACAGAATAATGAAAAATCTATTTTCTGTATGAAATAATAAGGAACTACATAGTATAAACACAACCTCTGCGAAGAATGCTCACGTGTAAAACACGGAATTTGGAACCAAAACATCAACTTTTTCTCCTTTTCGCTTGATTTTTCACTAATCGCCATGGGCATTGATGTACATACGGTATGTATGACTGTATGATTACAGTAAGTAGGAAAATGGTGGAAGAAGAAGCAACAAAAGAGCTCGACGAGGAACAGGAAAGAAAGGTGAGTGTGTTCTTAACAACTTTGAAGAAAAAACCTGTAGGCATGAAATTGGATGATTGCATTTACCACCAAAACATGCTCTATTTCCCGCTTTCCAGCTAGGAACACCATAAAAAGCTAATAAAAATCTACCAAGCACAAGGCCGAATGTGTTATAAAACCGGTAAGATAAGGAAGGTAGATTACGACAAAACTACCTAAAAGGAAGATCACTTCTT